CCCCAAAACCCCAAAACCCCAAAACCCCAAAACCCCTTCTAAAATATTAAAGATTGATTTTTAAGAAATTCAAAATGAGAGGAAAAGCTAGGAAAGGCCAAATAAGTGCCGATAGCATTGATCCTGAGTGGAAAACCCAATTCTCAGGATGAAGGAAGCTAGTCCATGAGTTGCCACTCACACTTGAAAGAGTTATAGGCATGGGAATTTACTCTAACCATTCCCTTTCTATCAACCATGAGACTGGCCAGGTAGTATACCCAACCGGATCTGTATTGTGCTTAATGGATAAGTCTAAAGATACCAAGAATATGTCTTTCTTGTTTAATGAAAGTAACAAGACTTTCAGGTGAGTAAAATTCTCAAATGATGGCATGATGCTAGCAGCTGGTGAAGGAGTAACTAAGCAACCGGAGATCTGCGTTTGGCAATTTAATGAAGTTTCAGAAGACTATGAACCTTATTGAAGACTCAAAGGACATAAATTATGAATAGAGTCGGTCCATTTCTCACCAGATGGTAGATACTTGGTCTCATTGGGCAATAAAAACGATAAAGGACTTTTTGTCTGGGATTTAAGCACTAAGAAGAATATTACCTGAAACAAACTGACCAAGTGGGTCAAAGACCTGGCATTCTCAGAAGATAGTTCGTATTTCATTACTTGTGGGTCTAGTCACTTCAAATTCTGGCATTTTGATGAAGAAGGTGAGCCTATTAAGACACTTGTTACTGATACACAAGGAGAGCAAGAGCATTATGCTATGGAAAATCAAGCAGTTGATCTTACTAAAGTTGATTCAAAAGATTTTGTGGGAGTCGTATGAAAGGATTTGAATACTTATACTCTTTCTTCAAAAGGAAAGCTCTATGTATTCAACCCAAATCGGAAAATAGAAAAATGGATGGATATTAAAACTTCCCTTGCTTTTGGACTTTCACTTAATGGGGATAGACTCATCTGTAATTGTGCTAATGGAATAATAAGAATTTTTCAGACAGAGACTTTAACTCATCTTCAGACATTGCCAAAGCCTCCATGTCTTGGAGGAGCGAATCATGTAATTGGAGCAAAGAAAGAAAAACAAGAATCTCAGAAAAAGCATCTTTATGGGGATTGCATAGCAGCTGAATTTGATGAAATGAATGAGAAAATAATAGCAGTGTATTCGGATGGGATGACTTTAATTTGGGATGTGAACTCCACTGAGAAGCCTAAAGTTATGAGGTCCTTTATCTCACATAAATCTGCTATTACTGATCTTGATATTCTTCCAACTTCTACTTCTGAAATCACCAAGTTTGCCACATGTTCTTCTGATAAAACAGTCAGACTCTGGAACTTCTATGACTACTCAGATCGTAACCTCCGAGACTCAGTTCGAAGGAACATTTACTGCAAAGAGCTTGAGCAAATCATTTACTTGGCTGATGACTTCTCTCATTTCCAGCTTAAAGAAGTTGATGAAGACGAAAAGACTGACATGATTGGGGACTCACAAGATGAAACCGACAAACTCAAGTGTGTCAAAGCGTCACCAGACGGAGCCCACATTGCTTGTGGTGATGGAGAGGGCAACATCAAAGTCTTCGATGTGCAGACTTCACAGATGATCAGTGATAGAAAGTGACACGACCAAGAAGTCACCAGTCTTGACTACAGTCCGTTCTTAGATGACGACGATGACTACATACTGGCTTCAGCAAGCAGAGACAGAATGATCCACGTGTACAAGAGCGGTCATGAATACGATGCTGTGAACTCGCTCGAAGGCCACTCTTCATCTATCCATGACATCAACTTTGCTTTTGACAAAGACGAAGTTGATCCCAGCAAGAGACTCAAACTGTTGTCTTGTGGAGCAGACAAAACCATCATTTACAGAGGGGTCGAAGGTGCCAGTTCAATCACCAACTACCACAAACAAGTCATCAAGAACAACAAGTTCACTTCGATGCATGTTAGCGGCTCCAAAGTGGTCGTCGGTCTGGACAAACTGACTGCGGTCTACGACATCTCAACTTACAACAAGCTCTATGAAAAATAAGCCTGAATTGATGAAATCAACTGGCCAGCTCAATTACACCCAGGTGTTGCTGGACAGGTCAGGGACTTTCTTGGTCAGCTCATGCAGCGACAAAACATTTACAGTGCAGGACACTCTGGTGGGCACTCTCGTGACAAGAGCATCGTTTGGAGAACAAGTCACTTCGATCCAGCTGACTGTGGACAACAAACACCTGATCACAACTTCGGTAGAAGGGTCCATTTACTTCTGGAGACTCAACGAGCAAATCACCAAGTGCATCAACCAGCGACTCAACATTCTAGAACTTAAAGTGCCATCGCTTCATGAGCCAGCTGAGCCGAGTCTGAGAATGCCACCTCTTGTTGTTAAGAAGAAGGCTCCCAGACACAACCTTCACAAAAAGCAAGAGTCTGATGACTGGGATGAAAGCTGAGGCAAGCTTCCATTTGCTGGCAAAAACCCTGGCGAAATCCTGCTCCAGATGAACAGAGAACGCAAGGCTCAGCAAGAAGAAGCCAAGACGCCTAAAGAGCTTACAGAGTCACAGTTCGTCAGACACGAACAAGCTAAAGAAGTCAGCGACATGGTCGGCAACATTGCTAACGACATCTGAAACATGTTCGAAACATCGAACCAAGAAAGCATCCGCAACAACGCGAAGGCAGCTTCACCAAGCAAAGAAGTTGAGGTGTCTTACAAGAAAGCCCAGGACTCCGAGATGCTGCCGGTAGAAACTGGGTACATTCCAGACTGGGCTCAGACTAATATTGAGGCTCTGGGCGACAAAGCTAAAGAGGGAGGACACCAGTTAGACAATGCTGAGAGTTGTTTGACTTTGACACCGAACGAGAGTGCAGACCCAAAGAACTCGACTGGGAAGTTTTGACAAGATCATAGCTCAGAAGAGAAAGGATCAGAAAGTGCTTCTAATAGAAAATAAGTGGAAACAATCAAAGAGATCTGCTGAAAAAGATAAAAAGGAAGTGCTCCATGAAGTTAAACAAGAACTCAAGGTTGAAGATTACGACGACTTAATCGATGAAGTTCCAGAAAAAGTGGAACTTCATGATAGCTCTTCTAATGAGATTGAAAATATTTTGATGAAAGAATCTAATGAGAACAAACCACCATTGCGAAGTAAGAAGCAATGGGATAAATCCAAGCCTAATGCTGTCAAGAAAGCAATGGAAGGAGATCAAGGAGCAAACGATTATTATGAAGCAATGAAGTTACTGAGACAAGGTTCTATCACTCTTGAAGACCTTCCAGAAAATTTTAAAGATAAACTAGATACTATTTCTCAAACACCTAAACCAAATACTCATTTACCTGTCCCTCAAATGGAGTCAGGATTTGCAGAAGCCTCTTTCGGACAAAAGTCTGAGAAATTACAGAGAATTAGACAGATGAATGAAAAGGAAGAAATTCGTGTCGAAAAGATGGACTCACCACAAGACCAAAGTCAAAATGATCTAAACGATGTCAGTGATATTCGGATTCCTCAAGAAACAGAAAATTCTGCATCAAAAATGCCTCTAAAATCAAGGATCCCAGGTATAAAGAGAAGCCCTCCAAAATTTGATTCATCAAAAGACAAAAAGACTAGAAGCTTTATTGAAGAACATGATGAACTAGAAGATGCTCCTATCCCTCATTCACTAGATGATGAGAAGAGTCTAGGAGAAGGTCCTCCTCTCAACAAGTTTACCTCTCATCAGTTCTTGGAGGTGAACAAACGACCTGTGAAGCAGAAGGATGATTACAGTATGAATAATAATGACAATATTTCTCAACAACCCAGAGTTAAATCTGAAGCAGGTTATGATAAAGAAGAGTTCTCACAGAAAGAAGAAAGCGTTCATATGGATGGCAATAATGCTCAGGATACTAAGAGTGAGACTCATAACTACCCTCAGATGGAAAGTGTGGGGGATACTGAGCTATATAAACTGCATAATGACTCTACCTTCCCTCAAGAAGCTGATGAGATGACTAATGCAGCTGTGAATACTACATTGAAGATGGAATTAGAGAAAATAAATGAATCTTTGATGAAAATTGTGACAGTAGCAGGAAGAAAGGATTCTAAAGGAGTGAAGATTCTCCCTGAAGTTTCTGATGGGATGAATCAATCCTTCAATCTCTTACTCACAGCCATGGCAAGCTTAAAGCATCAGTCGTCAAATGGATTTGAAGCAAACGTTAAGTTTTAACTCTCTCTTTCACAGAAATAGAAAGCATAATTGGTAATAATTCAATTATTCAGAGTGAATATGGGGTTTTGGGGTTTTGGGGTTTTGGGGTTTTGGGGTTTTGGGG